TAAACTGCTTCTGACAACCACCCGTTTGATGTAAGACTCCTTGAAACTGTTGTAAAAGAGGCAAATAACCCAAAAAAAACTAATTGAACAAAACTATAATACAGGGACGAAGTGGATCTTGCAATATTTGCAATACAATGCAAGCATATCATTGCAAGCTGGCAAAAAGAAAACGAGACGGGCAAAACTGGGTAAAAAATGAAAAAAAAAAAACTATATCTACAAAAATGTATCACGTTGGTCTCGGCTGAAGGTCAATTTCATGAAAAGACAGAATCACCAGCGTTAAATAAGCTTTTAATATCGCTCATAGAGCGGCTTATAAGACGATGACAAGCAGTGATGTCCATTAAAAAAAACAATTTCAATTATTTTAAATTTTATTTTAAATTTCAATTTGAATGTGAAATTATGAGCCCACTCAATTTGAATAAAAAAATTTAATTTAAATCGAGCAATTTAAATTGAAAAAAAAAATAAAGTGCTGCGGCGGTATTCGATCCGAAGCCAAACTACAGAGCTTACACATGATAATTTAATTTCACATTTCCGCGGAAAAAGCAAACAATCTAAACTTTCACGACAAATTTGATGAATTTTAGTAGAAAATAGATATGCCCAAAAAAACAGCTTTGAAATTGTTTTCAAAAAAATGCGAGAAGTCCCCAAATTGGCAGAAAAGCTACTGAAAATCAGACTGAAGAAAAAATTAAATTTCTAAGAAAAATTCAAATAGTTTCGGAAAAATTTAAACTGATGCCAACTAACTTAAATTTCAATTTTTGTTTTTTTAAATGAAAATCACTGAAGCCTTGGGTAGAACTTTCAAAGCACAACAAAAACGCTATTAAAACCATTTTGACATTAAAAAAATGAGCTACTGGACGTTTTTACACCCCCACTCCTCCTGAGACACAAAATTAATGACAATTCACTTTTTGGATTCAAACGACAGAATTTAAGGTGGCTAAGGTCGACATTAAATAAATCGAAACAATTTGGACGAGAAAAAAAACGAAACAAAAACCGTATTGAAAATCAGAGTTACCAGAAACAGAATGACTTTCGATTATAACAAAAATTGCTATAAAACATTGAAATTGAGCTTTAAAAAATTCAGCAGAGGAAATAATCCGACTATTCAACACTTCCCAGACAAAAATTCAAGTTTTCAAACCCAGACATAAGGATCCCGATGCACCTGTGTTACCACTAGACCAAGGTTTTTGAGTTTCATAATAAAGCAAAACTTTCTCACAGTGTAGAAAAAATTAATTACGGAGAAAAGCTAGTTTCCCATTCAAAGATACATGCTCTCGCAAATGAATTTAAGTTTTGCTGAATGAACAATTTATCCCCTCAAAAAACTCGATCGACACTGAAACAATTGAAATCCAGTATTAAAAAAAGAAATCTGAAAAAAGTATTTTGTAACGCATTTAGGTATTCCGTGAAGGAGCGATCACAAAAAAATAAAAAAAATGACATCGCTTAGAGTTGAAAATATTTAAGCATATTTAGTAGGATACTTTGGCTCGAATGAGGTTCATGAACAGCCTTAACAAACATTGAGAATAGAATCAAAGAACGAGCGTCAGCAAAAACAGAATTTGAAAACACCAAAAAACGGTCTCAAAAATAATCAAATTTGATTTTTCCAAAATTTATAGCTCTTTTTCAACAAGAAAAAGGGCGTAACTGCGTATGCAGCGAAGAAGTCCACAATCTGGTTATTTGACTGAAGTATTAACCTGAGAATTGGCAGGGTAGTTTTCGATAAAAGCCTAAGTTTCCAAAAAAGAGTCCAAAGTTCAAACACTTGACTTTTCCAAAGGCCACCAACATTTTCTCAAAAAATAGGTGCATCCGTTTATGCAGGGGAGCTTTCTACATTCCATTTCGTGGATTGAAACTAAAATTTGAAGTTTGGGAGGGTAATTTTATGAAGTCCATAATTTTCCGAGGTCCATAATTTTTTCTGCAAAAAAGTTGGGTTAGCCGCTTATAAATGAGAGCTTACCAGCACCCATGCTTTCGATTAAACCTCAGAAATAATAAAAAAAGCAAATACCATACATTTTCATAATACCAGAGTTCATCAATCAGGAATTGTACGAATCAAAACCTAAAAAACAACAAAATTTGCAAAGAAACTGCTTGAAAAATGTACCAGATAATATAAATTTCATTTGAAAATAAAAACGGAAATTAAGCTTTCAGAAATTAGAACGAAATCCACAAATCCGAAAAAATCAACATTCTTTCAATTCTGAGGAAAAAATTAAGTACTTCCTCGAACTATTAACAAAATTTTGTAAACTTTCAAGAAAACGAGCATTTCAGCAGATGAGATGCAAAAATGTGTAAAAAAAAGTGTTGTCAGAAAAATCTTGTTTACGCAAGTGGAAAAAATACATCAGGTTTGAGCTCTTTGGACTTTAAGAACTGTTCATAATGGGCACTTTTTTTCAAATGAACCCAATTTAAGAAAAATGGTTCAAGGTTTGAACTTTTTATACCGCTAGGAAAACTAAAAAATAAAATCCACTTTCGAAACGATTTTCTCTTTCATAATTGGAGCGCTCAAATTGCCTAGCTTTTACCAAATTAGTTGAATTGAACTAAAAAGTGTATATATACCTAGGTGTATTCATAAATGCATTAAAATATTTGTAGTTATTAGAGCATTATAAGATTTTTTCCTGAAAAACAATGAATATTATACAGGCCTAAAGTGAAAATCACTTCGTTCTTTTACACATTAACACTTGATCCTCTGGTTTATCCGTGAGGCAACTTTTCAATCGTAAAAAAAATTGAAGAAAATAAGGCTACTTTTTGAAAAAATAAGCAGTAAAAATTGCTTGGAGAAAGTCGACAAAGCTTTATCTATAAAAATTTCAAATATTTGTCTTGGATGAAGCTCATAAACAGCTTTAGCAGAATTGAGAAGCTCATTAACAGCCTGAATTGAGAAAAAATGAATCAGAGACAAATAACTCGAAAAAAAAATGGGTCGACTCTCGTTAGGCCGAAAGCCAAACTGTGGTCATAAAAAATTTCAAGCTACAAAATTTATTAAATCAAAATTTTTACAACACTTTCTTCCTTAAACAGGCAAAAGCATTTTAAAAATCGCCCGTGAAACTACGCAACATAAGGTGACCGAAAAGCGTGTCCGATAAAATAAATTGAATTTGGGAAAAAAATCAATCGAAAAAAAAAGTTAGGACGAAAACCAAATATCTTTGAAAAACCAGTTACTTTCTTAAACGAAATAAGTGGTCTTAATAGAATTTAAGTAAATTGAGCATGTATGATCAAAAATAAAAAACCAAAAATCAGGCGACTAAAATTAGGATGAAAACAATTACAAAAAGCCAAAATTTTTCAATAAAATTTTCTACAAAATCAATTACTACCTCAAAGAAACTAAAAAGTAATTTTGAATGAATTTTTTGCAATTCTGCAAAATCCAATTGCAATTCTGATAGAAATCAATTTTAAAAAAATCACACAGTGGCGAAGTTGCACTTCGCATACACAAGCTAAAAAATATATGACCGACAACGCTACTGGGAAAAACTGAATGAGTAAAACTTTGAGTCTACCAAATTTCTTAAGTGACGCACGCCAATTATGACGCATTAGCAGTACCAGTCAATTTGAAAAGAAATTTATCGACTAACATGCCTCAATTTATAAAGCCTTGGGGATACTAAAAGAGCCGATCCGTTCCTTGCTGTAAACTACAATCAAAATGAAATCACACAACTGAACAATGAAACTTAAAAAAAATGAATGCAACAGTTGAACAACGAATTTTAAAAAATGAATGCATTGCACAGTGATACTTAAAGAAACGAATGCAAAAGCAGAAGCTGGATCTAAACACAATAGACGTCCGTTTCGGACATCCAAAAATTAATTTTTTCCAAATTTTCAGCCGGAAAAAACCATACTCTTAAATTTCGTGCGACAGTCGCAATATTCGTTTGTACATCACAGTCAAGTCAATATCCTTTGTAGATATTTATGAGTTTTTTCGAAATTTTTTGACATAGTGAAACAAAACGCTGCTCCATCATCTTGAATCGATTTGAAAAGAAATTGCTCAAGCCTGAAACACGCCAAAATAACTAAAACAAAAATACTTTCACTCATTTTTACTATTAAAAAATTAACCAAAAACCATGCATCCGAACAAAAAACTGAAAGTTTCTTGCAAAACAATAATTTTTTTGTTTTCTAACCAAAATATTCGGAGTGTATAAAATCAGGAAACACTGAATTATATGTACACTCTTGAGAATTATGACATATTAAGACGGTTATTAAATTTTTGAAAAAAAAATTAGCCTTACAGCGGGTAACTCGGGCGGTAAGCTGACATTTAAGTTATTTGACGTTATACCCTCAATAAATAACATTTAAATAAGCAATGCAAAAACATTTAGAAAAGCGGAAACTAAGCCGACGACAACAAATAAACCGAAAGCGACAAAATTAACAAAGGAATTGATTTGTCAGTAAGAATGCTAAATTATTGGAAAAACATTATCAAGCTATTGATAGACCAATGAGCTAAAGGGGACGCACATATTGCATGAATATGACCTGAGCAGTGGACCTGTACTGCATGCAAGCTGAAATCTGTGGACAAAGTTCTTTACGGGAAAAATAAAAAAGTCTAGCACCCGGTTGCAATATCCTTTCTGATCGCAAGGGTAATAAACTATACGAACTAGATAACCCATTTAATTTTAATTCATTTTTGGCTTGCAAACTGATGATTTCAATCACCATACACTGCCCTGGAATACCAGATATGACAAAAACTCAATTACTTCGGGACTAAAATGCTATAAATTTTTTTCTGAAGTTTGGAGCAAAAAGACTTGAAGCTATAGTCTGAAATTCTGACTTACCTGCGTTGACTTTTCGCTTAAATTGGGCTAGCCTCGGCTTAAACACGGATTCAAATTACTTCTTAAAAACAATACAATGAAACGTTGAATTTAAATTCTAAAACTAATGTAAGCTGTAAGCATGTTTTATTATGTTTATCTTCCGATTAATAGCATAACATCACACATCGCCTAAATAGGCAATGTTTTGTACTTTATTTTTGACTTTTCTCACATGAAGGAAAGGCCAAGCAAGAAAACTCGCAAAATGTGTCAGAGAACAGCTATATTAAAAAGTTTTAAAGAGCACGAAAATATTCTATTTAGCAACAATTTATTTCAGAAATATGAGTTGAGACGACTATTTTTACATAATGCAGACAATTAAAATGAAATTTCTGCATATTTGATTTTCACTTTAGCCAGAGAGCGGTAGGCATTTTTTGTCATGCTATGTATATATTTTGGCAAAACACTTTGGATTGCTAAAGGGATGTTTGCAGGACACACGCCACAGGCTATTTGAGCAATAATATATTTTCAAAGAAAATAAACTGTTCCAAAAAGTTATTTCTAGTATAGAAGGTGTAACAATGCATCTTCAGCGCAGTTCATTGAAGCAGCCAGTCAGTATCATAAACAGTTGAGCAAGGTCGACTACATTCATATGCATCAAAGTTTATTCCTCGAATGAAAACTGAAATTCAGCTGTGAGAAACCTTATTTACCACTCGAACAAACTCTGATATTGAATGCTCATAACTCAGCACAAATTGAAATAGACTTTATAAATATTGATTGGTCAAATTTATCTGTCCATTCTATTTGACTAGCCGACTGTAATGGTAATGCAAATACCAACCATTCAAATTGTCTATTCATATTTGTCTGTTCTAAGGCGATGACCCAAACATGTACCATTTTAGGACCCCCTGCGCAGTCGCAATGCTATTTCTGAGAGAATATGATAACAATTTGAATATCATACGTCTATTCAATCAACAAATTTGAAGCGATAAAAAACCTCCAAGCCATTGGTCAATGCAGATTCATTTAAACCATCATAAAGACATGCTATTAGGTTTTCAAAGATTCTGTTCACACTAATACAAATATCATCGAATTAAGTCGTAAATTTTCGTCATGAATAAGCATCCAAAATAGAAAAACGATAGCACCAGGATCAGAAACATGTCCAGCGAAACCGGATGTATTTTAATTCCACTTTCCCCGTTCTTAATCTTTTATTGAGAATCAACCCTATCCCATTGTTATTTTATGGAGAGCATATTTGTACACGGGAAATGGCGGAAATATCTCCAAATTTAATTAGTATTTTTTCATGAACAAAAATATAACTCCACTTTTTAAATATACTTGCTCACGCAAATGCGAATATATATAAGAAGATTTCGTGAAAGTTGCAGACATCTTTAAATATATATAATACACGTCAACTTCAACTTTCTCATAAAGGCGAGGGAAGGATAATATAGTGAGATAGGAAAAGAAATTAGACAAGACTAATTAGCGAATTTCTAATTTTAAATTTTAAATGTAAAATAAGTTTATTGTTGCAAAATACAGCATTTTTTGTTTCGCATGCTGATTTATGATACACAAATACATACTATTTCCTTTTTGAGCTTCCGCTGCTCTTTGAGATGAGAGGATCTGTGACTTTAACTGGAGAATTGTTTGGCGAGAGTTTTGAGCTTTTATTTGAAAATGAACTCTTCTTGGCTACCTGTGATGAACTGCCTTGTTCGGATGCTCCTCGCGTCGACGATTCTGATTTCTTTTGGCCATGAAGAGATGCTGCAGTTTTTGTGTTCATCTTTTTCGAAGTACCACTCGATCCTGAGGACGGAGTAGACAAACTGTTTCCTGTCGCCGCAGACAATGATTGCGGTTTCTTGCTAGTCTGTTTGTCCGAAACTGAATTACGTCCAGGCACCCCTTCAACAATGCGTGTCTTGCGCTGATGCTTCGCGCTAGTTCCCATTGCTGTTTGACCCGACACTGATTTAGCATTCTGGGAATGTACAAACTTAGGCTTAGTCGTCTTCGGTTTCAAATCAACTGATGGCTTCACTGCCGAGTGTTCTCGATCAAATGTTCCTTCTTCGGTTACTGTTGAGCAGTTCGGATTCTGGTTACATGAGCTGTTAGTATCTATGATTGCTCCTGCCAGTGACTCAGGGTATGTTATGTTCGATACGTTGTCACATAGACTGAAGTTCATCGAATCGCTGCCAATGCTGTTTTTACGAACTAGAACAAAACAATTATTCACTTAAAACGAAAAAACTATGCTTAGCAGTTCTGTCAATCAAAATGTAGACAAAATCTTTTAGATTAGAAATTTTACATACTTTTGAACGTTGGGTTATAACCCGTGGATCCGCAAATTGATCCTGTTAGAGATTCGCCAGCTATCGCTGTATTTGAGACGCAATCGTTCTCCCTTTCAATATGAACAATACTCGCACTCATCCCATTCTTGTTTGAACTGCCAATTTTTCTGGATTCTTCTTCGGTAGCATTTTCAGACAAAATGGAAAGCTTGCGAGTATTGACCGATTTTCTAGAATCAGCATCTCCATTATCACTCGTTCCAATTTTTCGTAAATCCCAACCAGAGCTGTTTCCAGATGCAACTGTGGCGCTTACAGATGCACTATTTGATAACTTCCTTTCGCTTTTCGAGCTACTAATGGTTCCAACTGAGTCTCCTCTTGCGTATGCGCTCATTGCTGCTCCTTCGAACTGTTCGTCCATGTCCAACCTAACTCCGTTTTCGGTTTTCGTAATGCCACAGCCACCTGTTCGGCACAGCGAAATGGGCACAACTCCATAAACGTAAGCAAGCAAAATAGGAACTCCTACACTTACGGTCAAAGCCGCTAAAACTGGAGCAACAATGATTGAGGCAGTGACACCGACAACTACTATCACGTTTCGGCGACTCTTCGATCTAAAATGGGTAGTGTTGTAACGTTTAAATAACTTTCTTCCGACGTAAATAGGGATTCCTATCATCATCGCTGGAATTGTTAAGCCCGCAATGAGAGCAATTCCAAGTGGGGCACCAATAAGTGTTCCAATTTGCCAGAGAACTTTCTTCTTTCGGCTCCAGGGTTTTTTGCCCCAGAACGTGCAACCAGATGGACTCAAGTAATGCAGATCGGAAATTTGCTTCATGCAGAGCCAACAAAATTCAGCTCCGCAGATCACACAAGTCATGTGATTACAGGAGCCATCGTCACACTTCGCGATCATTGCATTACACCTCGGACAAGGTTTAGTGTCCAGAGGCTGTAACTCCTCGCTGTTTGAAGCTTTCATTATTAGCGAAACTCGTTCAGTCCGTGCATCGTCACAAGTTTTGTTTGGGTGCCATTTCTGTCTGCAGTGGTAGCAGAAACTTGTTGCACAACCAGGTCGTTCGCATTCAAGTCTCGGACAACTAGCACAGCCTGCTGCAATGACTCCGTAATTACAATCTGCAGCTGGACACCAGCGAGTATCTGGTTCACATGTCAAATGGCGACGAAGCATGAACAATTCATATTTCGTGGTTAGAATAACATCGTTCAAAATAAACCGTATATCATTCGGATGTATCATTTTTGGGCATTCGGGGCATGTTATGTTTACTCTGGAGTCACAAATTTCAGTGGAAATATAATTCCGCAGACAATCAAAACAGCATCTGTGCTCACACATCAAAAGTCTTGGGAACCTATCGTTTTCCTTTTCGTGAAAGCATACTGGGCATGTTAGATTTACGTCAAAATCATGCCTATTCTGGTCTAGATTTTGATTACTACTTCGATTACTTAGGCTGTCAGCAATTTTGCCGCGTTCAATTTCATGTCCGCTGCTTTTATCGTCCGTTTCAGCTTTCTGGGATTTCTTTCTCTGCTTTCGTATTCGACGAAAACTCCACAAATCTTGCAAAGGTATTCGCAAGCGCATTGGAAATGCACGCCGCCTGCTTTTATCACAGTGTTGTTTCAGTGATATCTTCTCCTCGATGGAGGGATCGGAGAACGTTGCTTCACCTCCAACCGATGGAACGCTATGCGAGCTTTGACTTGGACCAATCTGATCACCGGCCGACAGTTCTGGGAAAAGTGACATGGTTGCACTTCTTGGAGAATTATTTAAACTCGTTGTTCCATTCATTAGTTGGCCTAAAATACATTCACGCTGATTGATCAAGAGTAAAAGCAACGCAAATTATTGCTAATCTCTCAAATTTTGAAAACAAGAATCTCCTTAAAAAACTAGAAGTCAATATCTTTGTTGCTTGTTTTATAATTTCTAAAAAAAAAACGCTCTTCGGCTCGGTAAACAGACTTGTTCAGCAGACAACAATGGATGGGAAACAAAATTAGCTCACAGAGCAGTGAAGGCTGAAAAGACAGAAGTCACTCACGAAGATTTCGACACTGATATAAGGAGTCCACGCTGATACAAGGAACAATTGTCAAAATACCACCCGAGTCGAGATTTTTCACCTAATTTGAAGCAAGATTTGAGCGGTTTGAGTGGTTTTTTTAGACAATTACGCTCAAATCTTGCTTCAAAATGAGCGGTTTGAGCGACTTTTTTCAAATGCTCGAGCATACTTTGAATTCGATTAAAAACAAGTTTTAACATGTTTCTGAACTTCTCGCCTTTTATCAAAAAAAATGGTTATCATACAATTTTCATAAAAGGAAATTGTATGATAACTATGTTTTTAGCTTCAATTTTCATTTTTGATGAGCAATGTCCTTCAAATTGAGCAAAAGCACTCTTAAATAATTTAAATTTGTTTATAAACAAGTTTGAACAATTTCTGAAAATCTTGCCTTTCATGAAAAAATGGTTATCATACAATTTTCATATATGGAAATAGTATGATAACCATTTTTTTTTCAAAAAAAAACGTAATTTACTAAGCGTTCATTGCTGGTTGAATGCTTAGTAATTTTATCCTAAGTTATAAGTCTCACCTTAGATCGTCAAGTTGTCTTGACAAAAGTTAGCGTAGAAACAATAGTTAGAAAATGTATGAATTAATTAGTTGGTTAAATACAAAGCACTGGGTTATTAGATTATATAAACGAATCGAACAGCTAAGAGAAATATACCTATGAGGGGAGGTTGAGTTAATCTTATTTTAATCATCAATATTTGATCTTCTTACTAAGGTCGATGGCTGATTAGTATTGTTGGGTCGCCCTTGATTGTGTCCACTTCCGCACTTCTGGTTTGGTCGTCAGTATCGTCTTGCCGTAGTCCTTTTGGTACTTGTAGTCCAGACTTCCTCAGGTGTGGGTATCTCGAGTATCTCGATTTATAATTTTATCGAACTTTAAATGAGAATTTATTCTCTATTTTATTTGTGAAAAAGGGCTAGTTTAATTTTATTGTAAAGGCAGAAAAGAAAAATTATTTATTTTGAAAAGGTCCTACTGAAGAGATCTAACTTGCTGCTTACTGAGCAAAATGAAACACTGAAGATTTCAGGCCAATCCTTTTGCTCGTAAGCATAAACCGGCGGCTGATTCAATCTTTAATTATTCAGGTTTCACCTGCTCCTTTATTCTCCTTTTCTTATAAGGGAATTTTCAACTAACTTTTATTTGATTTTTTCAAATCAAATATCTTTGAATTATTAGTCCCCTTTGATTAAAACCGCAGCCTTCAGTTTTGTCTGATTAAAAATTCATATTACTCTCTCTGATGCATCATACTGCAGGTGCATCTCTGCTTAATCAAAGCAAGGAGAATTTCAGTGCAGCCAGCAAGACTGCTAAATATTTATCCATATTGTTTCAAGTTAAAGTTAAAAGGGACGTGTTAATAATCGCCGCCCTTTTAAAATAGCGAGCATGAAAAAATGAGAAAACTGGACAAAAATTTAAAAAGGAGTGGATTTTCAAAACAAGATTTTATAGTCCTAATAAGAGTAAATCAGTCAATATCTGATTAGTGAAAAGAGGCTTTAATTTAAATGGCACGCTCCAATTTAGAATTGGATCGTTAAATAAAACAATTAAGACAATGGTCTTTTGTCTCTGTACTAACTTAAATATTACAACTCACCCCTTTTTTTAGAAGATTAAGCTGTTTGATTCTTACAGTTACCATGGTGAAAATTTAAACACTTTAATGATTAAATACTATAAGTATAACATTTAAAAAGAACAACAAATGAAAAAGTTAGGTAGATAGGTTAGGTTAATGGACTCAAAATTACATAAGGTTTTTGTTCTCAATAGCTTTAAAATTCGTCTAGAGCTTCCTTCCGGCTTCTAGCTCCACATTGTACGATCTGAAGATCGCTATCTTCCTCTGTGAAGCCTCGAGTTTTTGTTGCAACTTGACGATTTTCTTTTTTTTTT